CCCCTCCTAATATTTGTGATTCCTTTGCTGAAGAACACTTTTCATTATAAACAGAAGATGCTGCATTTTATAGTCTTTCACTATTGGGTCTGTATCCACTGCTACAAGTTTTAAAATGTAGTTAGTGCATATTGAGAGTTTACACTTCTGCACTGTAGTGTGATTTTTTTCTAAAAGCTTTTTGGTAAAGGTTTCTGCTGTAGACAGAACCCTTTGTACTGAAAAGCTTAGTGAAGTCTTCAGATTCTTTGGCTAGCACTTCCAGAAAAGGGTAGTAGGTTCTGCCCCAGCATCTGGACTGACAGCAGCCTGACTGGATTCTCCAGCTGGATACTCTAACACTGCATCCTCCAGAGGAAGATGCATGAATCCCTTCAGTGGATTGTAATGGGCTCAAGCTGCGCCAGGGGAGGTTTAGGTTGGAAATTAGGAAAAATTTCTTCATGGAAAGGGTGGTCAAGCATTGGAACAGGCTGCCCAGAGAGGGGGTGGAGTCACCATCCCTGGAAGTGTTCAAAAAATGGGTAGATGTGGCATTTCAGGACATGGTTTAGTCTAGTCTACCCTTGATTGGTTTAGTGTGGATTTGGTAGTGTAGGTTAATGGTTGGACTGGATGATCTTAAAGGCCTTTTCCAACCTAAACAATTCTGTGATTCTTTTTCTGGCCCTAACACTGCGGTTTCTTGATTAGGTAGTGCTCTGTAATGGGCCCATATTGCTGCTTCTGTGCTCTCAAATGAAGACAGAGATCTAAATTCAACATAGGCTGCTTGGGAGTAAGGCGAAGTACCCCCAAAATCTTTCTGTCACTGCATCTGTGTGTGGGGAGAGAAAAGGGCTTAAAAGTGGTTTCTTAGCCTTGAAAATAGACAACAAGAGTTGTATGAGTGCAAGAAACGAAGAGCTCTGTAGTTTAGGGTAGATGTTCTGCTGCCCCACCCCAGCTGAGGTTAGGCTCCCTAGGACTAAGAGATCTGCCCTCCCTCCTGTGTGCCTCAAGCCATCTCCAAGCTATCCTTTTGCTATGGCCCATGACATCCAGCTTGTTCCTTTTCCGAAACGCTGATCTCCGAATTTCAGCTTCTGCCTGAGGGGTGTGACAGCCCTGGCCTTGCTTTCCCAGCTGGTTCCACTCGAGTCAGGGGGACTTTCTGCAGAAGTGGGCGTTGGATGTAGAGCCGTCTGGATTATGGAACTCCTAGCTTTGTTGAATAAGATTGAAAAAGAAAGTGTGACTGTAAGCATTTTGGTGACCAGTTCAGGACCGCCCATTGGTTAACTTCCTCATGTTGATTGCAAAATGCTTTTTGAGGATATAAGGGAGTAAAAAGAAAAACAGACAAAAAGGTGATTTTGTTAGGCTCAACTGTATATGCGTGGACACTGTTGACTTTTGCTATCTGTTAATGACCATTCTTTCTTTATCCACAGGCAGCTATTCTCTCTCCATAAGAGACTATGATCCACAGCATGGCGATGTTATTAAGCACTACAAAATTAGGAGTCTAGACAATGGAGGATTTTACATCTCTCCAAGAATAACTTTTCCCAACATCAATGATATGATCAAACATTATCAAAGTAAGTTAAATCAGCTAGTGGATGACTTAATACAACACAGGCATTATTTCCTGTGAAGGAAAACAAATGCTTTCTTGTTTTGTTTCAAACCTTTTAATCTTTTTTTTTTTTTCCCCGCTTAAATAACCCAAGCATGCGTGTTATCACAGATAAAGTAAAACTGGTTGGAACCCAAGTAACACTGTTATCATAATCAGACCTAATGCTGCTTGCTCTATGGCATACCATTGTGAAATAAAGAATAGCTTTATAAAACACCTCATCAAAGTTATGATGCTGTGAAACTACAGTAAGAATTGACTGCACTGTAAATTAATTCTGTATTCAAAAGTAAATTTGTATTCACAATTAGCAGAAATACGTATAGACTTGTGAATGTCTTCTTGCGGTGTTGAGTGTGGAATTGTTTTTATTTTTCCTATAAAATAATTTGTTTGTTTATTTATTGTGAATGGTGTTTTGAAGGAAGTAAAAGTCTATTGACTTCAAAGAAAGAAAATTGCACCCACATAGAATGTATACATTTATTATTAAAAAAAGGGGGGGGGGGGCCTGGGGAAGGGACAAGTTTCTACCTGTGTTTTAGCTACAAAAGTGACTTTTCATTCTGCATAACCTCCTGGTGGATAGCTCCAAAATATGTGGGTTTTAGTATTGAAAGTAGGAAGACAGAGAAGATGAAAAATGTAGGACAGAAAATCACTTAGTGATTTTTCAAAGCCACGCTGAGGACTTGGCTATGAGATTTCTGTGAGTTGTTGGACATGTGTGGTAATTCTTTGGCACAGCTGGAAAACCTGAGAATTATTCTACATTTGTATTAAAGTTGTAGCTGGTCAGCATCTGGAGAAAAAAAATAATGGTGACCTACTTATGCTTGCGTACACATGTGTCTGAAACAATGCTGCAAGAAAACTTAATGACAAATTCAGAATACAGGTTCCAAGCCTGACTCCGGTGTGCATGTTCATCAACATACTGTCAGTAAGCAGATCTTACATTTTATTTAGTTGGTATGAATTGTACTAAAAAAACCTTAATAATCTGATGCTAACCAGATGTATGTGACACTATTAAATTTGTCTCTGAATACCAAGTTTCAGTTCAGAGGTGCTTAAAGTTATGTGAAAGCATCAGAAAGGTTACATTTTCATCAAACCACCTGATTATTTCTAGAATTATTTTGAGCTGGTTAGTGCACACCTGTAATTAGGTAACGTTTGTCTCAAGTTTTGAGGGACAGAAGTGTAATGAATTTTGTATTTTGTTTTTCCTTGGAAAATCAGAACAATCAGATGGCTTATGCAGAAAGTTGGAAAAAGCTTGTATTAGTCCCAAGCCTCAAAAACCATGGGATAAAGATGCATGGGAAATTCCACGGGAATCAATTAAATTAGTGAAGAAACTTGGAGCTGGTCAGTTTGGAGAAGTCTGGATGGGTAAGTTTATTCCTTTGGAAAGAGTATTTAAATATGCTGAAAGAAGTGTCATTTCAGAGCCAGTCAGAATAATAGTGGACACGAACCTGGTCGATATATGTGTAAAACAGCACAGTCAGGCCCAGAATATACCTTTTTGTGAGGAGAGAGGATTTGTGAGGCGGAAGATATCTGATATCATGGAACAAATCCTTTGGTGTTTTTTAAAGGAAAAAACAAATAGTGAGCAAACACTGTAATTTAGAAGGGGTTTTTTTGGTTGTGTTTTGTGGGGGAAGTAGAAGGTTATAGTAAGTTGTGACTTCTCAAAATCAGTGGGCATCTCAGAACTTTGTTTCAAATCAGAAAGTGGTAAAGAACCTGAAATAGAAAGAAATCATGTCATTTAGTAAATGAGGTATAGAGTTTTCGTTGTCTCTGGTAAAGAAGAGGCTGCAATATCATGCATGGGACTGCCGTACTGGGTGAAAAACGGGGACGCAATCCAAGATTATTGCCTGCCAGATTGCTGCTGAGAAAGCAGGTGACTCACACAGTAAGAAGATTAGAGATTGATCACCCCCTACCTTGAACTGTTGCGCAGGTCCCCAATAATGAAAGTGTCATAAGACATACAAGTTGTAAATGTTAATATAGACCCAGCAAAAAATGATAGTGTTAATTATTATAACCATAATTAGCTTTGTTTGCTTATAAACATCTTATTTTCTCAGCCTCAGTGACTTCCTGTGGCAAGGCGCTATGACCACGGTCTAACCACGTTCTGCAAAAATATTTAATCCTCTTGCTTTTGAAATGCTGTCTATTCAGGGATCTGAGTATTCTTTTGGTTGCCATATTGCATGTTCTGTGTGCTATTCATTACTTACATCCTTGTTACTGGTTACCATCTTATTTGAGGTAAACTATACCTTTCTCCCAAAGTCTTCATTATGGTGTTTTTTTCAGACCAGATCATTGTCTCAACCCTCCTCTGAATCTCCTTTTTGGAGGTTATATTTAAATAGTAATAAAATTGTTATTATAATAATAGAACAGTGCTGGTTTTTTCTTTTTCCTCTCCTCTCCTCTCCTCTCCTCTCCTCTCCCCTCTCCTCTTTTTCTTCTCCTCTCCTCTCCTCTCCTCTTTTTCTTCTCCTCTCCTCTCCT